AGTTTGTCTGTAATACTTGCTTTGCTTAGCTCTGTGATTGACAGCACGGACCCATCAGATTCACATCAGCCCACCTGAAATGCTGGCCATGCTTCCCAGGAAAGCAGCCTGCTTTATTGTACTGCAGTGAGGGATTTGCTTGGAGGTGCAGAGGGAAGGGGGCTCTATAAATAAAGACAAATATCAGAACAATAAAAGCTAGAATGAGACTGGCTAGGATATTAATATCTCAGCCCCACTGTTATTTGGGATTTTTCCAAGCTATCTCTCCAGCAGAGGAAAATGGAGGAACCTGTTTCCAGGTCTCTGTCTCCTCTGTTTGGAGGTTTTCTTGTTGCTGCTGAATACAAGTGAAGTTCAAAAAACACCTTTAAATCCCTAATTTTATCCTAATTTAGAAAGACATCTAAGACATCTTCATCTCATGGCTTTGCTTCTCTCTTTGGCATTTGCCAGAAAGCTGAGCTCTTAAAGAACACAGAGGAAGAAGCTCATAGATGGATACAGAGGAACCATTGGGTACCAACTCCTCTGTTTCCCACTAATTGCACCCTTGAAAGGGGTCAGCTGAACTGCACACGCAAACTTGCTTTGAGCCATTTGAAAAGGATCTTCTGGCAGTGCGCAGCTGTGTTTATTTGGTGCAAAAGGTAACCTGAAAATCCAAACTGCTAATTTCAAGTTGTGTCATGCTAACCCTGTGAGTTTAAGCTGTTTAGTCTGAAGTTTAGTCTGAAATTGGGTGGCCCTAACTCATATCTGCTCTGAACCCAGGCTGGAACTTAGTATAGAGTTGAATTCTTGGGGCCAAATCCAACTGAAAATATGGGCTGATTCCCCACGTGTGTGCACATACACACAGAGGTGAGAGAGGAGGCACAGGGATGAGCTAACTGGGGCCAGGCTGGATGTCCTTGCTGTATCAGGAGATCAGGATGGGGAACAGGGAGGTGCTCCAGGACCGTGAAGGTTAGGGCAGAGCGGCTGGGGCTGGGATCACCCAAGGAACAGGGCTTAGGGTAGCACACAATGAGAACAGTGGCCAGCTCCCAACGCTCTTGTACTGGGGACAGGCTGATTTCTGAACCTGTTTATTTTCTTTTGGATTGAAAAATTTGGGATTTTCTTTGAAATGACTTTTCACAGGGAAATTCCATAGCTTTTCACTTAAACTATGTTTTTAAAAGTGAAAGGATTTGAGAGTGCAGTAAAATCTTTTTGTTACTGTTTTTTTTTTCTTCTAAGATGAAATATTCTTGTCAACTCCACATGCCCTTATTTCCTACAAATGCTCTTCTGCAGGACAGGTTTTTTTCCATTAAATGTTTTCAGATTTTACTGAATTTTACCCAATTTTTCTGGAATTGGGTTTCCACCAGCATCTGTGCTGCCCACATGAGGAAAATAAGGACTGATCAGTGATGTGCAGCAGTGCCAGGTGATGACGGTGACCAAGGGCCAGCAGTGACATGTTGAAAGGCTGAGTTGGACATGAGCCCACACAACTAGCAGCAGTGATGCTGCAGGGCATTCCTCAGCATTGGATAAACTCACGTGATAGTATTTAAGATAGGCAGTCTTCAGTGTTTGCCTTATGGGTAGTTTGATTTATTATTTTATGACTGAAGTTTGATGTAATATTGCATGCATGCCAACATGTATGCACTACCCGACGTGTGATCCAAATGGCACAACCTAACTCTTTGAGTGACTCCTCTTCTTTCGCTAGCTCCTTTTGTTGAAAACACTTTAAAAGTCCATGTTTTTACAGAGAAGTTAACAACCTCCATGTGTTGCATAGCAGATGGTACAGTAATGTTGGAGGCGTATTTTACAATAACCTTTTTCCACATGGGGAAATTGAGGTATTGAGAAGTCTCTTTCTGATGCTTGAGAATGAATCAGGAGCAGAGAGAAACTACAGGGGTGCAGGAGTTCAAGAAACATCACTGCTGTAAGTTTGAGGGGCTGAGCTCATCCTGCCAAACTTCAGCTATTCAGCCTTGATCAGCCTGGACTCTTGTAAGGTCAGTAAGAGTGTGAGGCATTTCCAGAAGACAACTTGGACTTCTTCATATTGGGATCTCTCTCCAGAAGAGAGAGAGAGCCTACCCCTCTCCAAGGACTGCAGGGAACCCATGGTCAAACACCTCCTATTTTAATCACCTTGGTCAGATGCCTACAGCTAAGTGGGATCTGATTAATGCTCAGAGAAAGGTCTGAGCACTATCCCACAGCTAATCAGTGCAGAACTGCAGTCCTGCAAGGTTCCTCAGCATCAATGCAAACCGCACCTCATCGGAACAGGTGCTAAGGTCTTCAAGAACTGTTGTGGTTTAACCCCAGCCAGCAACTAAGCACCACAGAGCCGCTCGCTCAGTCCCCCGCAATGGGATGGGGGAGAGAATCGGAAGGGTAAAAGTGCTCCCAAAGGCCAGAGCATTTTTGTACAAATCTTGCCTCAGATAATTCTGGATGAAAATACATTTGTAAACGCCAACATTTCCCGATGGGTTCCCAACCTAGAGGCAAGGGAGCCAGCTCAGCTAGGAAGTTCTTCCTCATGAATAGCTGTGCTTATAATAGCCACTGAAATTAGATCAAACCACAGGACAGTGACAATAACAGCTCAGATTTTTCAGAAGAGCTGAATGACTTGTGCACTACACCTTTTGCAAAGGCTGGCTATGAATGGCACAAGAGGAGCTCTTTAATGCTGATCCCTTCTGAAAATCTGGCCTTGACAACAAATACTAAACCCCTGGGATAGCTGACCCTGCACTCTCCCGAAAAGTTGGCATCGGTTATCCCAGACCTGAATGCTGAACCTCACAGTGGGACGTCTGACCCAAGCAGCCAGCCTAGAAGCGAGATCTCACAAGTGACTCCAGTTAGGAGTTAGAAACTGATAGTGGCATCTAATATGGATTTATCATTGCATTTTTGGTTGCTTTCTCCTACACCAGAGATATTGCTGAGGAGGAGCAATACGGGCTCAAACAGGGTTTGCAGGGATGGGGGAGAATATGTCAAATGTTGTGTTATTTTGGCCCCAACAGCTGCCAAGGAAAAGAAAATGGCCCCAAGCAGAATAAAGTCAGCCTTCCCCATATATGTGTTTTTCTTGGGCTGCCATTACCCCGTCTTCTCCCTGCTGTGCCAATGCTTTTTTGCCTGCCTGTGGGCTCTATTTCAGTGTTTCACAATCTGATCCGTGCTTTCATCACCACATACCCTATGTCCAAGCAGTACCCAGTGCGATCCAGAACATTCAGATGCTGGAATGGGCTCTCCCCACCTCCTGTTTTCAGGCAGTGGCCATGCTTCTGTGCTTGGCTTTGAGGGCTGCTGCTATCCTAGCTCTGTGTCTCCTTGTGTCTGTTTTGAATGAACTGTAGAGGCAACACCATTACTTTGAACATGCTGCATCTGTCCCCATCTAGAGATATGTTAGGACCTCATCCCCATCACCTTTGCTCATCCCTGTGTCTAACCAGGGTGAAGGATCAGCCCAGAGGGTGACTCAACTGTCTGATGGCAAATGCTCTTTTCTCATGATCTCATTCCTATGCAAGGGATGTTTTCGGTACCAATCAGTCATCACCGGTTGGCTGACAATGGAGCGAGGGCGAGGAAAATGAATCGGGGAGTCGTGCACTGCCCTGCTCTGCCTCCTCAGGCAGGACATGCTGTCCAAGGGAGCGCGCTAAGAGTGCTGCATCTATTTTAACTGCATGGTTTGAGGAAGTTGGCTCTGAACCAGCAGCAAGGGCAGTGGGGGGAGGATGTGCTGCGGTCATAAAAATTCCACCAAGATAAATCAATAGAGGGAGGAGGAGAATGGGAGGTAGAGATGGCAAAGTCAGACATTGTTCAACTCTGCCCACAAGAGAGAGGTAGACAATGCCTCCGTGGTCATGGGGGTTTAACAGGAGTGAAAGGGAGCAAAGTCCAAGTCAGAGAGGAGCTGTCAGGAGCAGGTGACAGCCTTCAGTGTGGGCTGGTGGAACTGGATTTGGGGGTCTGGTTCAGATAGCCACTGAGTGCCAGACATGCTCCTGCATGGCACTAATTAGCACCTTCTCAGGCAGGCTGAAAAAGAGGGTAAGGAGCAAATTGACTTGCAGCAGCAAGCAGGAGAATGGTGGGCTAATGATGTGGACTACTGCCAGTCCAATCCAGACAGGTGCTGCCTGCCAGAAATGCTAGTTATGGGTGAGCTAGGACACTTCGTCTTTCACCAAAACCGAAGGTCTCATTATGGTGGAAACTCTGTTTCCTGTCTTCAAAAGACTCAAGATTTTGAACTGGCTGCAGCAAGAGCTGGGTCCATAGCAGCCCCTGCCCCAGCTTCCTTTTCTAATCTTCAGCAAGGGGTATCTGCCCAGGAACCTTAGAGCCCTGTTTTTTCATATAAACAATTTACAGTATAAGTCCTGCAGCAAGGGATGGATTCTCACTAGGTTTATGCACAACACTACTATTGCTATACATACAAATCAGATGTATAGAGCACTGCTGGGCTGTATCCTAATAAATAACAGAAAGAGCTGTCTGCTTGCCTTCTCTGGTAAGCTGGGGAGCAGCTCTCCTTGCCTGTGTTTGAAAGGTGTAGCTGAACTTAGGACTGGATTCAGCCAATGACCACACTGCCCCTTCACGCCTGTGCTTAAAAGGAGTGTTTGGCTTGAGTTGTCCATCAAGAAGAAGCCCAAGCCCTTGGTCTTGGCTTTCCAGGCATGGGTCAGGCCAAACATGCTACAGCTCAGCCCACCAGACAACACACAGTCTTTGGCTCTTCCTAAGTGTGCCATGGATGTCCTGACCCCAAGCTAAAGATGAGCCTGGAAAGGTGTCAGTAGTCACCAACACCTGCTCCCAGACTTAAAAAGCAAATTTTCAGGCTGTAACTCCAAAATGGTGGCCTGCAGACCAGAGGACAGGGCTCTGCTTTGCCTGAATCCCTCACAGAAAGACATGTTCTTCCTTCTCTTTCACAGGAATACACCATTGATATCTTCTTTGCTCAGACGTGGTATGACCGGCGTCTTCGTTTCAACAGCACCTTGAAGGCCCTCACGCTGAATACCAATATGGTGAGCCGCATCTGGATCCCAGATACCTTTTTTAGGAACTCCAAGCGGGCCGATTCCCACTGGATAACCACTCCTAATCAGCTCCTCCGCATCTGGAATGACGGAAAAGTGCTCTACACGCTCAGGTACATCCAGCAGGCATTGTAGCTGGCTGCTGAGGTGAGGGAACAAGGAGCTGGTCAAAGTAGAGGAGGTCTCCAGATGCCCTGGGACAGAGTAGTGGAGACGTCTCCCAGTGCTGATAGGAGTACACATGCCATACTGGTTGCAGAATGGGCTTCGTCTTCCCAGGATGAAGGCTTCCAAAAGATCAAACTGTTCTTCCATATCATACCTAGAAAAAAGTCAAATCTACAAATAGTTTCCTAAACCAAAATCCTTTAAAAGTTTATGTTGGCCAATCCAGCTATTTCATTCTGATAATAAACATTTGGCTTTTGTTCCCATAAATTCTCACTCCCATAAATGAATCTGAAAAGCTCACTAAACAAAAAGGCTTTTTGAATGTGAATATTAGGTGTTTTTTCTCACTTTGAAAATATCCAAACATATGTTTTGTTTTGCTGCTGTTTTGACATGTTCCTGCAAACAGACTGATCTTCAACAAATTAGTGTTTCTCTCTCAAGGAAGCGAGAATCCCTCTGTCACATTGTGGTGTTGGAATCAAACCACCTTCACCAACATAAAATCTCCCTCTCTCTCTCTTCCTCTCTCAGGCTGACAATCGAGGCTGAATGTCTGCTCCAGCTGCAGAATTTCCCAATGGACACTCACTCCTGCCCTTTGGTTTTTTCCAGTTGTGAGTATACATATTTTTAAAGTAATTTTAGAAAGCAAGTAGAGAAACCACAGTAGAGTAAAACTCTTCTGGGGAGACCATCCTCCCTTATAGCTACATTTTTCACCTAATGTTTATGACACTCTTCCTGCACAATTACCCATCATGCCCTGAAGCATCCTCCTACTCCTGGGCTAGCAAAGGTCTTCAGGGACAGATTCACAGCGTCTTTGAATTTCTCCTTAATTTGGGTGGGTGGTTGGAGGTGATTATTTCACTGACCTTCTGGTCACTCTGAATATATCCCTTCAGCTGGCAGACAAATGGCACCTGTCCTGCCTTGCATCCTCTCCCTTCCCCCGCTCTCTGCAGGAACAGCTTGGCTTTCCAGACCTCAGCCCAGAGATAGGGCCACTTTCTGCACCCAAGGCCAGTACTCAGACCTGCCCTCTCAGTCCCCACTTCTCCGTTCTCATCAGCAGACAGGGCTGCTGATGTTGGCACATCTCCACTGGTAATTTTGCGGTAGCCTTTCTGCACCAAGAGATTCCTGTCCTCATGCGTTGGTTGGAAATCTGATTTAGTCATCTTAGCTTGGGTTCGTCTCTCCCGCTTCCCATGCCACTGAAGAGATGCAGCTCACATGGCTCTGAGGTGCTTGAGAGAGAGGCAGCATTCTGAGGAGATACCATCATCCCTCATTCTTTGCTAACTAACAGTACATGCCATACATGCTTGATAATTAGAAACACGCTTTTAGTTAGCTGCCAAGCTCTTGCTCCTTCCCTCCTCTAAGGAACTCTCTCATAGGTGTCAAGGTCCCTGCTAAAAAGCCAGAGCCAGGAGAAGCCATGCTCCAGCCTGCAGGAGCCAGGTCTCCTTCTCCATGGAGAATGCACCCCTTCTTTTCCATACTCCCAGGATGAGAGGTACAGAGATAGTCAGAGCAGCCACAGCTATGCTACCTCCTATGTTGGCAGCTTTGTATTCCTGGTGTACTCATGCCTGGGAAGGGAAGGTAGTCATGAGGAGTGGTGAAGGCTCCATGCTGCCCTAGGGAGCTAAAACCCTTAAAGATTTCAGGCTGGGGGAGTCCTCTTACAACAACCCAAGTCTCATTCCCACCAGTGCAGTCCTTAGAAAGGCTCCATTTCTAGCATTGCTTTTATCATCCCTAGGATCTGAAGTGGCCTGCAAGAAGAGATGCTGTCCCTACTCCCATTGCATTTGGGGATGCCTAAGGGAATCTAAACAAAAGGCATGAGAAATACCTGCCTGAAAGCTTCATGTTTACAAAACAGCTAGAGTGAGATGCCAGTGCTTTTGCAGTCAGGGTGGTGAATGAGGTGGAGGCACAAGACATACTCTTTGATTGATGTCCTTGCCCCTTTCCCCAGATGGCTACCCACGCGAGGAGATTGTCTATCGCTGGAGGCGCTACTCCATTGAGGTCTCTGACCAGCGCACCTGGAGGCTCTACCAGTTTGACTTCACGGGGCTGAGGAACACCTCGGAAGTTCTCAGGACTGGGGCAGGTGAGGCAAAGGGAGACAGCCCACAGAAACACCAGTGTGTTGGAGACCTTGTGGAAGGCAAAGGAGTCATCAGAGCCCCACAATGGTGCAGGAAGGTCACAACAGCACAGTCAGAGAAACGTAAGAATGAAGGGATGGATCTTTGCTAGAGGGAGCAGAAGTGATGGAGATGAGGGGTGAGGGGAAGATGAAGAGGGGGTAAGCCAGAAGCACTGACCTCTGTGAACTGTGGGGTGACAATGCTGATGTGAATGAAGCTATCCCTAATTGAAGGATCAGGAGGGAGAGGAGATGGAGCTCAGATCCCCTCTTGCTGCAGTATGTGCATACTATGTGATCCCTAGGTGATGCTTATAATTGGAACAGGGGTGGGGAAATCAGAACTTGCAGGTCTCAATCTTCTGTAAAGTTGTATGAGGCAGATGAACACCTGAATTATGCTTTAAGGTAGACAGGAACAAGGCTGCATGTGTGAAGAAACCAGGGAATGGAGGCCCTTGAGCTCCTCCTCCTCATAATAGCTCACATCCCCTTTCCTTCCCACATACAACTGAGGAAAGTCTTTTTGGGTTCCTGCAGGTGGGGTGAGCTCATATTTTTAAGCCCTCTGAAACAGCAAGTTCAGGTAGTGCTTCTCTCACTCTGCAGAAAGCTGCTGTTGCCAACACTGGCAGCCAGCCTCTAACATGGGCAGAAAGGCAGCACAAACCATGACAAGAAGTGGTGCAGTGAAAGTCTCTTGAATGCACCAGTGGCTGTCTGACATTTGTAATTCTCTTTTTGGTAATTGCTTGCAAGCTCCATCTTAGCCCTAGAGCTGTCGGGTGGCTTTCTTCGAATACTCACTAGAAGCCTCTGAAAAAGAGGAAGAACCTCAGCTCCAAGTTGCCCAATGAGCAATTAGGATGTACAGCACCACATGACTTTTCCAGGGGCAGAACCAGCGTTTCGATGACAGTGATTGAAGGACACCTCCTTTGTCACAGCTCAGGTAGTTATTTGGCAAGCCAGGCCATGTAGCCTGTTACATCTAAATAGTTTCTATAGAAAAGAAACCCTTGCAGCAATCAGCTGAAGATGAACATTCTCTATAGTTTCTTCCCTAAAACTTTTCCAGACAGTCTGTTTTTCAGTGTGCTTGGACACACAGCCAGGCCAGTACAAATGCAGCCTGGTGGCCACATAGCCAGCCAGGCAGATAGCCAACTGGGGAACCACAAAGTCAGCTCTTAAATTAGTGACAAAGACATTAAGTCAGACAGCTGCAGAGCCAGCCAGGTAGCCACAGAGTCCACTAGCCACAAAACCAGCAAGCCAGCCACAATGCCAGCAAGTCACCAAACCTACTCAGCCAGCCACACAGCTGTCCATGAAGCTAACAATCTGGGCAGCCACAAAGCCGGCCAGAAAACCAGCCGGCCAGGCACTTAAAGCAACAAGAAAACCTCATCAGAAACACTCCAAATTCTGAAACTTTGCTCATTTTTGTGTTTTAGGAAGCCACATGTTACGATTTCAATGTCTCTGTTGCTGTTTCCTAGGGGAATACATGGTGATGACAGTTTCTTTTGACCTAAGTAGACGTATGGGTTATTTTGCCATTCAGACCTACATTCCCTGCATCCTGACTGTTGTTCTTTCCTGGGTTTCCTTCTGGATCAAGAGAGATTCTACGCCAGCCAGGACATCTCTGGGTAAGAGACAGGTTGTTGCATGTCTGATGTCAAACTCTGCAAGGCTAGCAGACTGGCAGTGTTGGAGTACAAAATCTCCTAAAGCACTTTGTCATTTTCTGGCATTATTCAGCTTACTGGAGGATAGTCCACTCCTCCATCTTTCTGTTTGTAACACCTATCCTCAAGCTCAACCGAATCTCCAGCTGTCCTGGCTTGGACTACTGGATTATTTCAGGATAGCACAACATTCTCATATCTTGATCTGAGACCTGAACACAGTCTTTTCCAAGTTGACAATGTGGTATTCTCATGCGCCAAAAGGGAGAGGAAAGGGGTGAGCTGTGGCATTGCAATGCTGGCCAAAGGGCTCCTGTCACATACACATATTCTGCATTTCCTCATGACTTTTCATGGGCTTAGTGTAGGACCAGTGACATGAAGGTTGTAGGGTAATGAGCAAAGTTGCTTGGCCAAGCTCTGGCAGGACGGGGAAGCCCTATAGGTACAGCCTTTCTTTTTCTGTGACTGATGGGGTCAGTCACACCACAGTGGAAGTCCAGGACTGCTCTGCCTATTGTCTAGATTTTCTCAGCAACCTGCAGTGGCTCTTTGAAGCAGGAAAAAGTTTATGTTGATGAAATCCTGCTCTGATAGGCGCTAGAGAGGTCTTTAGGAATCTTTGATGTACTTTGGCTGTATCTGCATTTCACAGCAAGCTCTGCTTCCCAGCGCTGTCCTTCCCACCAGCCTTGCTGACTTTCCCTTTAATTGGAGGTAGCGTTTGCAGCCCTGCCTGCAGGCTTCTGCGGGGAGGGAGAGGAGAGGTGAGGAGCCATCAGCATCAGGCAGGGCTATTCAGAGCCCATCCATTCTGACCATCTCTCCCCACCTCCCTGTCAAAATCAATTTCTTTGGTGCCCACGGAGAGAGCAGGAGGAGGAGTGGCACGTCATTTCCAATGGAGGTGAGGGTACGCCATAGTCTGTGGCTGGGAAAGGAATGAACAGCAAGAGGCAAAATGTTCTGCACTGCTGACACCACTATGGTGGCTGTCTCAGAAAACAAAGGCAAGTTTCCCTAGGATGGGGGCCCCTGTCTGTGGGAAGGGACCTCAGCACATCAAGAGTAATGTATTCTCTCCACAGCTTCTGTTGTACTTAATACAAATGATCCCCAGTACATTTCAAGCCTGTCAGCCTACATTAGGGAGATGTAAGCCAGACCAGTTCCATTGGCATTTCAAATATATGGGAAGTCACATCACATCTGCTAATGCAAATACAGCAGGAAAGTATTAAAATCTCTTGCCATACTCCCACCCAGAGCCATTGGGGTGACCCCAGGAAAGGGTGGCAGATGGATTTAGATGAATGCTAGAGAAGGAGGAACAGGTAGAATTCCTGCTTCTTCTCCACGTCCCAAAAAGCAGTGGATGAGATCACGATACCAACTCTTGCAGCTGATCCTTTGTTGGCTCCTGATACTTTACATCTGGAAACAGCTCTGTAAGCATTACTGCTACCGGAAAAACAATTCCAAGCGCCATTCAAGTCAAAAGAGATTCCTTATCATCTCCTACCCACTTGCCCTCTACGTCAAGAAATGGATAGATTGTGAAGAGCTGTCTCTGAAGAATAGCCACAAGGAGGTTGAAAGCTTATGGTAAGAATTAGAGACGGAGGCAACAACGGGAACCTTGCGGTTGGTGCCTACGACAGACCGCCCGATCAGGGGAGCCTGTTGACGAAGCCTTCTTACTCCAGCTACAGGAAGCATTGCACTCACAGGCTCTCATGCTGCTGGGGGACTTGAACCACCTCGACATCTGCTGGGAAAGTAGCACGGCAAGCTGTAGGTAATCCAGGAGACTTCTGGAGGGCATTGAGGATAACTTCTTAAGCCAGGTAATAGACAGCCCTACCACAGGGGATGCAATACTGGACTTGATGGTCACCAACGCAAGTGAGCTGATCGGTGATGTCAAGATTGGAGGCAGCCTGAGCTGCAGTGATCATGCACTGGTGGAGTTCGCAGTCCTGAGGGATATGGGCCAAGCGAAGAGTAAAGTCAGGACCCTGAATTTTAGGAAAGCAAAATTCCAGTTGTTCAAGGAGTTACTCAATAGGACCCCCTGGGAAACTGCCCTCAGGGACAAGGGAGCAGAATAGAGCTGGAAGATCTTTAAGGACGCTTTCCATAGAGCGCAAGAGCTCTTGATCCCCAGGTGTAAGAAATCAGGAAAGGAAGGCAAGAGACCGGCATGGATGAGTCAAGACCTGCTGGTCAAACTAAAGGGCAAGAAGGAAATGTACAGGCAGTGGAAGCAGGGACAGGTATGCTGGGAGGAGTACAGGGGCGCTGCCTGGTTGTGGAGGGATGGGGTCAGGAAGGCGAAGGTGCGGCTGGAGCTGAACTTGGCAAGGGACACAAAGAATAATAAGAAGGCCTTCTATAGGTATATTAGCCAGAAAATGAAGGTCAAAGGAAGTGTACTGCTCCTGA